TTAAGGGGGTTCTAAATAGAAAGTCGGCAACACATCATACCCCCATAAGAGCAATGTTAACTTATTTCCCAAAAAAAAAATTTATTTGAAATGTTGAAGAAACGGACAAAACGTCTTTTTGGTGTATACATGTGTCTGAATGTTACAATAGAACGTTTTTTTAAAAACGAAGCATGTGTTAATAGATATGATTTTTTGTGTGGCGATTTCGAATTTTCAATATAATCAATCACAGATATCATTATTATTAAATAATCTTCTATTATAACACAGTACGTGCAGTGTATAAAAGTTTAAACCACCGCGCACGTTGTAGAATTATAAACTAGTGCCAAAATATTGGGAAAAACGGAAGAAATCGATGGAAATGTTTCATGTCAATAAGGTTGAAAATCCACTGCAACACAATATAGGTATCTCTTTTCTTTCTAATGATCCGCGGCAGGTATAAATTGCCCGAGGACTTGGTGTAATTAGTGGATAATTTAAACCACTAACAAAATAAATTTACCTTGTATATACCCGAGGCTATTTGTACTACATTTATGCAGAACCTTTGAATGTCTGCGGGGAAGCGGAATGGACCGGAACGAATGTTATTCCGGGTTCCGGTTGGTAAAAAATATTACATATAGTTTCGTGTCGTGGAAAAATTTTGTACGCCGTTCCCGTTCATGAAGCGACCGTGTGGTCAGATCCTCCCCCCGAAAAAAAATTGCACATAATCCTACATAATGGAAATGATTCCCTAACTTCCAATCGAATCGAAATGTAACAAATCGAATCGGAATGTTTAGTCAAATCGGAATTGTTTGCCTAATAATTCCGATTTTACTAAACATTCCGATTCGATTTGTTACATTTCGATTCCTTTAGAGTTAGGGAATAACCCTCATTGTTGGTTTATTTTTTCTTAGTGTGGTAAATATCACATCTGGAAAGGATTATACGTTCTCCAGATCGTACCAGCACACGGAACCCAGCAGAATTCGCTTTGTCTCTACACAAAGGGAAACAATAGATTCCACAAAGCGGAACTCTGTAACTGATTTTTTAATGTTTTGGAGCTTTCTCTTTAACCTTTGAAAGGCAGTAAATAATGTTTATTCTTCCAAAATTTTAAATTTGGAATATTTTTCCTCCAAAGCGTAACCATTATGTTTACTATGCCCCCCCCCCTTCCTAAACCTCCTGGGGATGGGCTGATGCTCGCGTTCCGGTTCTCGAAAATTTCCATTCCGAGCACTCCAGGGAATCGTTATTCGCGGTACCCCATTATTGTCATCGCCAATGCAATTTTATAAATATGGGACAAGTGACGCAATTATTTTATTGAAAACATACGGTTTGGTGTTTCACCATTGTAAAACATGTCACTAATGGTACTTTTATTTGAAAGATAAATTTTAATACAATTTTACATATAAACTTAAATATTAGGTAAATAAAAAACGAACAAGCAGGTTTGCATTTCCGAAAAAGTATTTAATTTACCATGTGTACCGTCCTAATGTCCATATTACGACATCGCCTTGAATCCACTAATTCTGGCAATAATGACTGCATGTAAAATTCTTGCAGCTTTTTTTCCATATGTTGTGTCCAAAAGATGTCATCCCTATAAGAATGTAAGTGCATGAGTATTTCGCTAGACATATTTTGTAGGTAACATACCTTCTTATTTCCTCAACATGGATTCCCGCTGTTGTATAAACTATAAAATAACAGTTGCTTCTCTTGGTGATGTGCATAATGCCTTGGAGTTGATAGTAATAATTATGACTCCTTTTTAGCATAATTCTATTGTTTTCCTCATCTAAAACACAATAGTCAATTAATTTTAACATACATGCCTCAACAGGATCGTGGTCGCCACTTTTCAAGGAACTCTTAATTTCAACTATACTGTCTTCCCCAACTAAACCGTCAGGAGAACAAGCCAAATACGGGTTTTCTTCATCGACGATGAGACCGCATCTGGTTACCTTTACTTGATATAGGCGTTCAAAGTGCTCAATGGCATTTACTTCGCTCTCCAATCCAAATTGTGTGTATTTGTTTCCTCTAAAAGAACTATACAGTAAGTGTGTTACAGTTTTAGCTGTGGAAGTTGTCTTGCGTAATTTGCAAACTTTCCCAAAATTAGAAGCTGTTATTCTTTTTTTACGTTCAATAATCCATAAATCGCTTTTTGATTGGTTTATTGTATCACGCTCAACATCTCTTCTGTTTAAGTTCTTCAAATCTTTTAGAAATTGGGCTGATTTTAGTTCATATTCTTCCAAGGATAGGTCAGGGATTGCAATTTCGTCCACCATACCGTAATGTTGATCAGCGGTCTGAAACGCTCTTTTCTTGATATGATCTAAAACAAAAAGAAATAATTACAAATAAAAGACGCGGAAAGGGGGCGAGTGATTGTGATAAACATACTTACGTTTTCTAGATCTGTTGTTGTACCGATGTAGTTGGGCGTCTAGGAAGATTTGTGTGTAATGTCCTGGTGGTCTTCCACATAGCTGCTTATGTAAAACGCCTAATAAATTACGTTGTTTGCAATTGTAGGATATGGCCGCCAGTTCACACCTTAATTGGTAGGAATTTTTGAGTGAAAAGTTTATTCTTTTACCTCCTACAAGTTTAGCTATGATGGAATTATAAGTTTCCGCAGGATTATTGTCTGTATCATACAGTAAACTAGAGGCGTGATCCGCAAGTCGTTGTATAATGGTATTAATTCCACCTAGGATCCCGTTTTGGGTATATATATCAACTAAATCATCCTAAAAATAAGAAAACACCTTTAGTATGGAATTAATAAATAGCAAATCAGAAACATTACCTTATTCTCATCTGAACCTTTGCAAAAGTAATCTTTGCAATGTACATGGCGGCCAAAGATATGGTAGGGACTATTCAATATATCCTTCTTTAAATTGTCAATCTTGTCATCAAGTGCATTATTTTCGGATTTCCTGTATGCGATAGCCCTTATAACTGCATTGCGGAAGCGACCTAGCATTGATGGATTTGACACATACTCTCTGTGAGGTTTTGAGTATTTGGTGTCTTTACTCAAATCGCTGAGTTTATTTATGAAGTTTCGAAGTAAATGATTGCGACATTCAATTTTTTTTATGTAAAACGATGGACCGTATGGTGCGATTTCAACTAAATGTTTGTAAACGCTACTGTCGCCATCCCCAATTAGTTTTCCATATATAAGATTGTGGCGCGTTATGGAATTTTTAAAACCTTCACCTAC